GAGCCGTGGACCGTTGCCCGAGGGGTCGCCTGGGGCCCGGGCCCGGCAGCCACAGCGGCGGGGAGAGGGACACACGCAACCCTTTAGAAAAATAGCTCTTTAATCGAAAAGCATTCACAGTAGAGGTGCCTGCCCGGGCAGGAGCAGGTTGCTGGCTGCCTCCGTGGGCCACACGGTTGCTGAAGACTTGAGGAACAGGAGCCAACCGTTTCTTTCCCTGTGGGCATCTTCCTGGGCACCCAGAGCACAGCTCAATGTCCAGCAGGACTGCTCCAACGTTAGATCGGGGGTGAACCCTGTATGCAGCCTCACCGGGCCCTGCATGGAGGGTCTCTGCTGCCCTCCTGTCCTTGCTTGCACAAGACCTTGGCCATGTCATGGAAGAAGAAACGCAGTTTGCCCTGCACCAGCTGCCGGTAGGTGAGGAAGATGCTGGTAATGTGGGTCTGCTCCATGGAGTGTGGGGAGCAGCTGGACTCCCAGTGTCCTGCCTGAGGGATGAGAGTGGGACAGAGGAGTGACAAACACTGTCACACCCAACTCTGAGTGATCTGGCTCATGTGGGGAGGTCTTACCTCCCAGCTGAAGGTCTGCAGGAGCAGGAAGAAGGAGTTGGCATGTCGGTAAAGCTGGCTCAGCTGCCTGGCCGCACACTCCTCAGTCACCTGGCCCTGGGCCCCTGCTGCAGCACCCACCAGCAGGGACAGGTCGCACAGGATCTCTCGACGCTTGGTCTCATTCTGGCAAAGCAGACATGAGCAGCCTGACCCCCAGGGCCTGATTCATTCCTGTGCCCACCCTAGGTCTGGATGGGGTCCTCCACTTCCCCATGCCACTAGATATGCCCACAGGTATCTTTTTCAGCCTTTCTGGTGGTTGTGCCAACCCAAGGTTCCTTCTCCAGTCCCATGGGCACACTGGTGCTAGCACCCTCCTCCTAGCCCTTCTCACCGATTTAGATTTCCACTGCTGGAGGCTGAAGTCCACCAAGGGCAGCATCACAGGGCAGCTGAGTGTAGGCAGGGTCTGGCATTGGCCCTAGGAGGGAGAGGAGATGTCGAGGTGAGGTACCAGAAGCTGTGCATGTCCCTGGCCTTGGGTTTTGGGGGCTGACTGTATCCTCACCACTCTCTTTTCCATGTCCTTGGTCTCCCCGATGTACTTCTGCATGAGCCTGTTGTCACAGACCAGCCGTGCTGGGTTGGCACGGTCCTCTTTCACATGCAGGAGGAAGGATGTGAGGAGGAGCAGTCCTGGAGGAGATTACCTTGGGCACTGTGCCACCCTCCCTGAGTAGCACCAGCCCAGGACAGTGCCTGCAGTGTGAAGTCCTCCCCCAAGCCCAGTGGTGGCCTTGATGGCCTCGTGGTGTGTGTGCAAGGGGAGGTCTGAGGGTGCTGAGGAGGGCCTGGTGCTGCCCTCCAGTCAGTCAGCACAGGGTGTCCAGTGCTCACTGGAGAGAGCCAGGGTTTTCATGCCAGTGGTGTGTGCCAAGGGGCCACACAGCCATGTGTGTGCCAGGTTTTTCAGCCCTGCTCCAGGCAAGGAAGCAGAGTTGCACTCCCTGTGCAGACCAGGGCCAGCTCTCCGGATCTGCGCCAAGAGCAGCTCCAGGCGTCACATGCGCTTCGGGGAATCCCAGTCTGCAGTGTCCCACAGGGAACATTTGCTCCTCACTGCTGCCCTAGCTGAGTGCTCTCCTGCCAGCACTGCCTTCCCCAGTGCCGCTGGCGTACATGTGCCCACTGATTGCCCATCCTGGCAACAGGCATCTCCCCTCCAACGGCCCTCTGTGCATCCTCCTGCCTCACTGCCTGCCCTGGTACTACACCTGTTCCCAAAAGCCCTCGGTGCAGCCCTTTTCCCTTGTATGGGCAGGGAGAGATGCTCGGATGCCCTTGCACACTGGTCATGGCCAGGTTCAACCAGTTCAGAGCCACCCTTGGGGTTTGGTGCCCACCTGTGGGGCTCATCATGTGAGGGATGCTCTGGCTGTGTGGCCATGGTGTACACTGCCCCTTCCTGCTCACTCCCGTCCCCCCTTTTAGCCACGCACTCACTGTTCAGCTCCATGCTCAGCTGGGGGCTTCGGCCCTGCAACTTCCACTCTGGGGCCAGTGGCT